TACAGGGACCGGGTGGCCCTTAGCAAAGGGCCCCGGACCCCGTACTCCCGGAGCACCCCCCACAGGGCGCTGCGAGGGACACGGTCGAATGCCTTCTCCAGATCCACGCAGCACATGTGGACTGGTTGGGCAAACTCCCATGAACCCTCTGCCACCCTGAAGAGGGTATAGAGCTGGTCCAGTGTTCCACGGCCAGGACAAAAACCGCATTGTTCCTCCTGAATCCGAGGTTCGACTATCGGTCGAATTCTCCTCTCCAGTACCCTGGCATAGACTTTCCCGGGGAGGCTGAGGAGTGTGATTCCCCCTATAGGTGGAACATACTCTCTGGTCCCCCTTCTTAAAAAGAGGGACCACCACCTCGGTCTGCCAGTCCAGAGGCACTGTCCCCGACCGCCATGCGACGTTGCAGAGGCGTGTCAACCAAGACAGCCCAACAACATCCAGAGACTTAAGGTACTCAGGGCAGATCTCATCCACTCCCAGTGCCTTGCCATCAAGAAGCTTCTTGACTACCTCAGTGACTTCAGCTTGGGTGATGGACGAGTCCACCTCTGAGCCCTCAGCCTCTGCTTCCTCATCGAAGACATGTTTAGTACATGGTGTATATAAAAAAAGGATGCTGATGGTTACTCAGGGTAACAGGGTAACAGGAAAATATTGCTAACTTTATAGGCATGGAAGAACAACCAAGCAACAACCTTCAAGATGGAGAAATTAAGCCAATGTGGAAGTGCCATAACCTGCAGTTCCTAAAATGGCCACTTGAGGCTGGGTCCAAAAAGGAAGTCAGTCCCCACAGACTCTATGTTAAAATGTCCAACTTTACACCAGAAATAAACATGTTTACAGCCTGGTACAAAAACGGTTTTGGTCCCTTTTAGCTTATTTCCTCTTCCATGACAACTGTATGTGAAGTGAATTTTTTAATAACTCATATAAATTCTATTGAGACTAAAATTTACACATTAATTAAGGGTGTGGCCACTTTGAGTGACAGGCAGGAAGGTCCCACACTGGTAGCAAACTGCTAGCTATTTAGTGAGCTCCACTCACACTCCGCCTCTTTGCTCATTTTTGGATTAGACCTAGCAGGTGGAGTGAGGTGCTACCAATATGTCGACAGTCAGACTTGAACTTAAAAACTGCTCTTCAGAAAACCAGTGGGTGATATCATGGCGGGTTTGTCCAGTTTTTATATACACAGTGCATCCAGAAAGTATTCACAGTGCTTAACTTTTTCCACATTTTATGTTACAGCCTTATTCCAAAATGGATTGCATTCATTACTGTCCTCAAAATTTTACCCACAGCCTTGTCACAAGCTTTCACCTCTGAGCAACATTACTGCATCACCACCACACTGTTGTCACATCAGCAACTTCAACATGTAGTATGACATTCAAGATTTTTGCCATTTATGCATAAACAGACAGTCTAGGAATTCTTGTGCAGCTCTCCTCTGGACTCAGGTAAGGAGTCAAAAGCCAGAAAAAACACTTAGTCTTAAAAGAAAAGTTACATAAGGGTGACAAAGTATTAAAACACAATACACAAAAATAGAGTAATAGTATTTCCCACAGTGAACTTCAAACATCACACTTAGTAATCCAAATGGTGGAGTTGGATATGGATGTCTGAGTATGTTCTCTGCACTTGTATGACAGCGCTGTGTGTACAGTGTGTCCATAGCAGGCAGTTCAGTCCCAATTATCCTCTCTGCAGTCTTTATGACCCTTTGAAGAGCCTTCCTCTCTGCCTGTGTGGTGTTACCATACCAGACTGTGATGCCAGTAGTGAGGATGCTCTCTACCAGTCTTCAATAAGTTGAAGATGTCTGTATACACACTAGTTAGTTGATCCCCACAGGCTTTCAAAACTCTAGGGGGGACACCATCTGGTTTCGCTGTCTTATGTTCACCTGTCTCAGGGCCTTCAGGACCTGTGTGTGCGTCACCATGAAAAGCAGTGTTCCCCGGGTCACGGTGAGATTTTTAGGGGGTGTTTGTGTTCATCCTGTCAAACCTTGCATACTGTACAAGTTGTTAAGGCTGTCCGGGAGGGTGGCGTTCCTGTAGTTTGTGACTGCCTGGATTCCCTGCTACATACTGCACATGTTGTTATTCATATATTATCTCTCCAATTTTTGGATGTATGCCTTCTTTTCAACTTTGATGGACTTCTGTAGCTCGTATCGGGCTTTCCTGTACTCTACTTGGTCCCCTGACTTATAAATCTCTTCCTGATTTTCTGTTTTATATCCCTATTAAACCATGGAGTAAATACTACAACAAGATTGATACAAAAATAACATAAGAATTGTTTAAAACAAATCAACAGTTTCATAATTTCTCTTAGATTACATCATACACTGACAATTTATACTTTATTCAATGGTATGGCTAATGCCGACAGGATAAATGAAATACATGAAACTATATGAAAACCCAACATAAGTAGTTCAAAGTATTGTTAAGAAGACTAAAAACTACCATAATAATGCAATCAAAGCCATCAACCTCATGAACACCTGTGATCTGAAACAATATCAAAAACAATTAGATTTCATCACTGGAAAACAGAAAATCAAAGAATTATATGTCAAAGATTAAATGTATGTATCAAAAGTAAACAAACTACCAAAATATAATGTAACGCATGAAATGATCATAACACAATAATGAAATATCAGTGATTATGCGTATATGCATTTGAAACTACTTCTGATTGTCTTCTCCACTATCATCTCCTTTGTCTTGTCCATGTTGAGGGTGAGATTATTGTCCTGGCACCATGAGCCGCCACGGGCTGCCTCAGTGAGCACCTAATGTCTCCGTGCACTGTTTAGAGCAGCTATGGAGAAAAGTGGCCAGCATGAGCCTGTTCTCACCAAAAGAAGGGTGGCTGGGTACTTTCTCTGGAGAAACCATAGTAATTTCCTTCCACCAATTGGGGATTATTAAACACCTGTCATGCCTCCTGGTTGAGAATTCACAACACGCCCTATTTTAGGAAAATTGAACTCCTTATTCTTTCTCTTATTTATTTTGGGCTCATATGTCTGATAAAAAAACTACATAAAGAACTTTTCAAATTATATTAACTTTTGATGGATTGTATGTATGTGTCTGTGTGTGAAGCTTCTGAAGTTTGTTCCTGAGAAGAATGACATTGAGCTGCTGGAAGAACACAAGCATGAGCTGGACCGTATGGCCAAAGCAGACCGCTTCCTGTATGAAATGAGCAGGTACACACAAAATACTCTACATCATAGCTGAATGTGATAAATCTGGCCATGGCCTTGTTCTAAAGTGCAATGCTACATCACAGCTGAATGAATTCCCTGTTATGTGACCAAGAACAAATATAACTGAAATATACAGTACAAACAAAAATGAAAATTTAAAATTGGGTTACATTTATTTATTTATTTATTTTCAGTTCAATTTGCCAACAGTGGTAGAAATATCATGTACAGTAGTAATAAGTTATCAGTGTGAGAGTAAACAGCTTAAACACTTATATTAGTAAATCAGTCTAATTATTTTCACCTAAAATGGCTTTGTGCTGGACCATATATCCAATATACAGTACTAGGCTACTCATCTTTAGACTGACCTTGTAATGCTTATTTAAATAATAAAAAAATACTTGGTCCAAAATCAAATCAATCAGACTGACAGATGTATAGGGGCAGCATCAGCAGTAATATGGACACTGTACCAGACTGTTGTAGTGAAGGAGGAGCTGAACCAAAAAGTAAAGCTCTCAATTTAGCAGTCTGTCTACGCTGCAACCCTCACCTGTGGTCAGGAGCTGTGGGTAGTGGGCGAAAGAATAAGATCGCAAATAGAAGCAGCCAAAATGAGTTTTCTTTTTAGGGTGGCCAGGCTCAGCCTTAGAGGTAGGGTGCGGAGCTTGGATATCTGGGAGGGACTCGAAGCAGAACCACTGTTCCCTCACATTGAAAGGAGCCAGTTGAGGTGGTTTGGGCATCTTATCAGGACTCCTCAAGGGCACCTCCCTTTGGAGGTCTTCTGGGCACATTCATGTGGTAGGAGACTACCATCTACTCTACTCTAGACTACCATACTTTATGGGTAAAAAAAAAAAGTATTTCTTGAACTGAAATATTTTGTTCAGAAAATGTTTATCTTAAAATGAGTGGTTTGGAAAATTATTTCCTCAGTTAAAATATCATCTACACTTAAAGTCCACTAAGTAAGTGACTGTAGCTAGGTAACTGTATCTTCACATGCCTTCTTACGTGTATTCACTTCATGTTTTTTGTTCAGAAAATGAGTTTCCTTGAATGAGAGTGTTGGCAAAACAGGTTTACAGGAAGCTTATTGGCTCACACATTTTGGTGCAATAAAGTGAGCAAACTAATTCTGCCTGGTGTGTTTTTGTAAGAAGAAATTACATGTAGAGCCTAATATTTCCCATTAACAAAGCACTCAAGGCATTTTTTAATTGCATGGTGTATGAAGGCCACGATATGCTAACCCCTGGGCATAGGAATAAAGCTTAACCTCTCACACTTAAGACTATGTTCACACTGCAGGTCTTAATGCTCAGATCGGATTTTTTGCCTAAATCCGAAATTTTTTTTTTTTTTTTTGCACTGTTGTTCACACTGTCATTTAAATGCGACTGCCATCTATCTCGTGTGAACGGTATACGGCCCTGAGGTGACCCGCATGCGCAGAAGAGGACGTGACGTCAGACGCAGCGTACTGTGTTTGTGAAAATAAAAATGGATGTGGCTCATGATAGCATGTGCGTAGTTATGTACCAGTTAATGTGCAATTGAAATAAAGAAATAATAATAAGAAGAATATCAAGAAGGAGAGCACAAATATTGCTTATGGCCTCGCCTCCTTCAGCACAGAATTGTGACGTCTGTCGCATTTCAATGACATAAAAATCGCATGAAATGCGACCTGGCCGTTCAGACTGAAGTTACATTGCAAAACATTGGATATGTATCCAATTTAGGACCACATATGAAAGTGGCCTGGGCCTGATTTTGAAAAAATCGGATTTGTGCTGTTCACACTGTCATAAGGAAATCGGATATGGGTTACATTTGGGCAAAAAGATTGGATTTGAGCCACTTCGGCCTGCAGTGTGAATGTGGCCTAAGGTGGCATATTTGAAACATATCAAAGCTCCAAACACTGCTTGATGTTTTATGACAAAGATATTCACAAAGTAATTGACTACCATGAACCTGCACAAAGAGTTCCCTGCAAACCTCCATCTTTCATGTTATTAATTCAGGATACGACCCCAAATCCTCCTGATTAATAACACCCTGCAGTTATAGTGGCAGCTACCTTCTTATACCCTCAGATGTTACTGTACTGAGAAATTTTTATAAACCAGTATATTCTGGCTCTTTGAGGAAGTGTTACATTTTGTCTGAAATAACCAATGAAAGCCGTGACATTGGCCACTTAAGACTATATTTGCTTTGCACAGTATCTAGTTGACATAAGATGTTATTAAGGATAGGAAATTCAAATGGCAGTTTGTATTATGCGATAGGTAAATAGCTGGATATTTTGTATAAAATATTTTTTAATTGTCTAAAAATCATTTTAGCAGTTCAATATTGGTCTACTGTCAACCTTGTGAACTGTTACGTAACATCAGACACTCGACATCCGACATCCATTTCACCCTCACAGGCCGGAATAGCATGTGGAAAATTATTGCCCACCCCTGGATATGATAGTTGCTTTCAGTCCAAAATGGCAGACCTGTACAGTAGCCCCTTTGCTGGGTGCTGGTGTTCCAATGGAGTGTTCTATTAGCTGTCACTTCTTGGCAGTGTACACTCTTTGGGCAGATATAGATGTAGGCAGGAAGAGACACATCAGAGGTGTGGTCCTGCTCCTAAACTCCAGATAAATAATCTTCCATTATGTTTTCAGGTTGTCCATCCATTGCACTCTCATGAACACACTATCTCAGGAACACCTTGAGGGGTTTTCATCAAATTTGGCACAAACATCCACTGGGGCTCAAGGACGAGCTGGTTAGATTTTGCTGGTCAGAGGTCAAATGTCAAGGTCACTGTGACCTCACGCCCATCCTGTTCTTGACTTGAGAACATTTATTCAAATTTGGCACAGGACTCTGCTTGGATTTAAGGATGACAAAGTTCCCTATCAGTCTTCTGTGCTCCTCTGTATAAACAGTCAGTGAAGGCAACATGTTTCACACAGGAAAACATTCACTAGAATCATACATGTCAAAATAGTGATAACTTCCATTTTGTCAATTAATAAGGTTAATATATTTTACTAAATTCCTTCAGTCTTCGCTACCTGACAGACATGCAATGTTACTGGTTGGCAGAGACATACAATTGCAAGGCAATAATTCCATTTAGAAATATTTCGAGTCTGCTCACAGTTTTGCTGTCTATTTTGTGTCCACACCCAGAATCAACCACTATCAACAGAGACTTCAGGCTCTCTATTTCAAGAAGAAGTTTGCTGAAAAGGTCACTGAGGTGAAACCTAAAATCAAAGGTACCTTTTATCCCATTGACTTATTAGTTCACCTTTATTAAAAGGGCAAAAGTAAATGTTTGAGAGGAGGGCTAAATTTGAACCTAAAGTATGTCATCAATATGTATGAATGCATTTTTCTTTTACAGTTGCTTAAAGTTCTGATCTATATGTTCCCTGCTGAAGATATTATGAGATTAGGTTTTGCTGATTTAGGCATTGTGTGTGAACATGTTTGACATTCCCTTCTTGTCTTTGTGGCTTCAGCTCTGTGTCTGGCATCCAGAGAAGTGGTGCAGAGCATGTCACTACGTCAGCTCCTAGAGGTTGTTTTGGCTTTTGGGAACTACATGAACAAAGGACAACGAGGAAATGCCTATGGATTTAAAGTATCCAGCCTCAGCAAGATGGCTGACACCAAGTCAAGTATTGACAAGTACAGTTTCTTCTCATCAGCCTTTTTCAAAGAAAACAATTAGACTTTTGGGAGTAGGAAAGACACTGGTATAGATGATATAATGATTGATGGATGAATTTAGTTTCAGGGTCCTGGTATTGTTCATGCTCCCATGCATAGCTTATTGTGGCATTTGAATAGAGCAGAGCCATTAATAGTATTATTAGAGACACAGTGTGAACAGTACGTTTCCTATTATGACAAGTCAGAATGTCTCCTAAAGGTCTATTTGTAAGTTAATCTCTTTTAAAACCCATAATTAAATGATAAATGACTAATTGTTAAGTGTATGTGATGTGTGTTTGTAGAAACATCACTCTGCTCCATTACATGATCACTGTCCTGGAAAAGAAGTACCCTAAGGTAGAAGCGTTCAGTGAAGAGCTACAGAATGTGCCAGAAGCAGCTAAAGTCAAGTAAGAATGAACAGACATACACTGATTTATTTGTGGTAGCCCACAACAATATCAATATTGATTGTCACGTTGATTTTTTCTTTTTTTACTATGTAAAATTGGTAAAATGTTATTTCATCTTCGAGCCATGTGCAGTGCACTGATTAGCTCAGCTTCCCCTTGCTGTGTTCTCTCACACATTGACAATGGACTGTCTGTGACAGACTGTCTCCCCATGTCTGTTTTTAATACAACATTGTCAAATGTGGAGACCCAACATTTCCAATAAGTTATTAGCAAGCTAATAAGGCTAGCTAACCTAACGTTAGACTACAGCTGTATTGCTGAGATTAGGATACTCTACATAGTTGCTAGTCAGTATCAACTGCTCATGCAAGTGACTAAGGTTAATGCTAATTCTATAACCATGATACTGAATGTTTGCTCCCTCAGTCCAGAGGAATATTAAAAAAATATTTTCCAAGACTGAAAGGACTCGTGCTGAGGAGGTGCAGACGGTCTGTAATAAAGGTATTAGAAAAACAGGGATAATGTTAGGATCTTAAGTAAACACATAGGAAAACACAGCACAACATCATAAGTAAAGCAGAGGAGTTGTGCAGACCATTGTGCTATGTGCATGCCTGCTTGATCAATTCCTTTTATGGAGATTAGTGTTTAAGTGACTACCACTTATCCTAATGAGGGTTGCGGGGGAGCTGGAGCCAATCTCGGCCAGCATTGGACAAAAGGCAGGACAGGTTGCCAGTCTATCACAGGGCTGACGCTTAGAGACAGACAACACTCACTCCTAGGGGCAATTTAGAATCGCCAGTCAAGCTAAGCTGCATGTCTTTGGACTGTGGGAGGAAGTCGGAGAACCCGGAAAGAACCCATGCAAGCACAGGGAGATCATGCAGACTCCGCGCAGAAAAGCCCCGATTCAGCCCGGGCTCAAACCCGGAACCTTCTTGCTATGAGATGCCAGAACTAACCACTGTTCCATGAGTACCAGTTCTTCATTAATTGATATCTCTTTACTCCCAACAATTAATTATGGGTGGGGATTTTAATTGTTTGTTGAATCCTTATCTTCATTGTTCTTCAGCTGGACAAACTCCTTTTTCTGTTTCAGCTAAAAAATCTTTTTCAGAAGACTAAGGTATTATTAATATGTGGTGCTTTTAAACAAAAAATTCTACTACACATTAGTATTCTTGCCTTTCTCCAGGGCATCATTCATTCTCAAGAATCTGTTATTTTTTATTTGACCAGAAAATTTTGTCTAAACTTCAAGACTTCATATAAAGATATTTGAATTTCTGATCATGTGCCACTATTATTCTTAAGTGCCAAGAGACACCAATTAGTAGTAGGCCATGAACAAGGGCATAGACTTGCTCGCAACACTGGTAGCCCCACCCAGCCCCACCCGCTGCACTGAAGATGTATTTGTTCCCTGCCTACTGTGATTGTCTTGCCTGATGCTACTTCCAACATAGAAAATACTTCATTTTCATGGGGCTTCCAGTCTGTCCATAATGATTTTGGCAACACTATTGTCTAACAGTGAAGGTAGTGAATAGCCTATTTTTCCCAGGAAAATTTCACCAAAATTATAGGAAAGCACTTTTTTTTTCCAAACTAAGTGATGTAGTACAATCATCAGATGACTATTAATGTGTGAAGTGATTTTGGTGACACTACAGTATATGAGTGAAGTTACTGAATTTTTGAAGTAGGCCTCTCTCTTTTCAGTGTTGCACTTTGTAGACCGACCCTGTGCACTCGTCTCACAGCCACCGCACGCTGAGACCATTGGACACAACATATACTGCATATATGTGTGTGTGTGTGTGTGTATCTGGTGATGACTGTTGACTGTTGTGGGTGACTGTGGTTCAGTGGGTAGAGTGGTCGTCTCCCAAACACAGAATTGGAGATTTGAATGACAGTGCCTGCAGTCCACATGTCAAAGTGTCCTTGGGCAAGATACTGAACCCCCAAGTTTTGCCCCCAATGGTTAGAGCCATCGGTGTGAGTTGGCGCCCTGCAGATGGTTGCCTCAGTTCTGTACCGGAAACAAATTCCTTGTGTGTGTGTGTGTGTAACATGCTTGGCCAAATAAAGGTGATTATTATTATTATTTATTGTATTATTTCATCATTACCTCTACCCTCTAATGTATCTCTCTGTCTCTTTCAAGTATGACAGATTTGGAGAAGGACATTGGCAGTTTGAGATCTGGCCTACAGAGCACAGAGGTGGTAAGTGAGCCCATTAGATTGCTTGAAAATTTGTTTAGTATTGTCTAAGTATACTCACCAGTACACCTGTACAATTGTATGCACATCGGTGCAACATGTCTGCCTTAACATTTGTATTTATGAAGCTCAAAATGTTGCATGAAATTGTCATCAATGTATAAATTCAATTATATGTTTGTTATTGAGGTCATAGTTAAAGGTGGTGTTGCACTGGACTACATTATATTCAGAGGTGTCTCTATATTTTTGTCCTCCCCGGTTACACACGAGAGGGTGGGAACAAAATATTATGTAACATGTCCTGGGGTTCAAAGGTTCAAAGTGTTTATTGTCATAAGCACAATATGTGTTTCCCTGCACAATGACATTCTTACTTTGCCATCCACACTGAGATGACTTTTGTTGTGATTTGGTGCTATATAAATAAAAGTGAATTGAACTGAATGTCAGTTTCACCCCAAACTGAAATATTTTGAGCTTCATAAACAGAGATGATGAGGCTGAACTGTTGTACTGAAATGCATAGAATGTTATGATTTGTCCCCCTCACCGGGAGGGTGAGGGAGAACTGAGGTTGGACTCAAGATGGCTGACCCAGGTGCTAGGACAAAAAAAAGGAGGTTTAATGGAATAAAAACAAAAACACAAAGTACAACATAACAAGGTCCATACACATACAGTATACAGTCTGGGTAAGGCAGAGATGGGGGAGGAGACCAGGACGACCAAGGGAGTAGACAGGGTAACTGCAGGAACTAGGAGAGGAGGAGGACGAGGACGGACAGGTGAAAAAACAAGAGTGGCGAATGACAAAAGAAAAGCAACCGCACAGGGACTGTAGAGTACAGGGCGGGAGCTCGCCATGCCAACGCTGACGCTATGTCACCTTGTGCACATGACTGCTGTCGATATTGTGAAAAGCGCGAGTCCCAAGAGGTGGAGCTCCGCAGTGAGGTGGGGCAGGGTCCCTTAACCGACAGCGAAGGGCCGGCTTGCAGAGCGGCACAGGTCGTTGATGCTGCTGAATGGAGGGCGCAACAGGAACAGGATGCTGACCTTCTCCCAGTGCTACAGTGGGTGGAGTCCGGACAAAAGCCACAATGGAATGAGGTTGCTGGATACTCTCATGCCACTAAAGGACTGTTCGCAAAGGGGGGCTGGTTTTATGGTGATCTGTAGCAGCAGAAAGGGAACTATTTGAGCTTCAGCAGGTGGCGGTGGGGGCCCTGATGGAGGGAGTGGCCGTGGACATCATGGGGCCCTTTCCATACACAGATAAAGGGAACCGCTATGTCCTTGCCCC